CTTGCGTAGTACAATTTAAATGAAACTTGACAGAATTATTATTTATGTCTTTTTTATACTACGATGGTGTCAAACAAGCAAGCCCATGTGTGGTAAACGGTAGCCATATGAACGCCTGAAATACCAGGAAATTTGACGCGCTGCTGACCCTTAAGAAACCTTAATATACTCTTCTTGAAAAACTCCATGCAGTAGTCTCTCAAGAAAACCTCGTCAACTAGTTCATTGTACAATCTAAGTGTATGCGGAAGGAAGCTCCTCTGAAACTGTCCGAGACCACTTAGGTTGCAGAGTGTGGGGCTAAATTATGTTGTTTCTTATCCTGTAATTTCACTGCCTAAACGTACCCAACTACAGAAAATACGGCTATAAAGCAAGCTGCTTGGTGGATGAAATAAGTGAGACTGAACCATGCAGACGAATATTTTACTGTTACCTCAATTTCTAGACAAAGTGGGAATACCTACTGATTTACATTCGTGTACCTACTATGACGAACAGAAGGACATCATAAAGCATGCACCACTGTAAGAAATGAAATTCTAAGTATTGCTCCTATTTCCTATACTAATAGTTATGTTTATATTTATGAATGAAACGATTATCAAAATGTAATTTTATTGTGCAGTTATTAACTAGAAACATAAACAAAGTAATAAATAATTATAGAGTTTGTAGAGCAGCAAGACCTAGAGTAGTATTATATTTACAATTTTCCTTTAAATAACTAGATTATCTTATTAATAACACTAATACCAGCCGTTTCTATTTTTGTTTTTTTTTATTTATCTCAGGACAATTCACACAGCGCCATTTAGACCCACGTTAAGCTACCTAAAGCTTGTGTTATGGGTACTAGATAACTGATACAAGTACATAGATATTTTTTTTTTCGTAAATACATACATATTATACATGGAAAACACCCAGACCGATACAAACAATCATACTCATGAATACAAATGTTTGTGCCGTGCGAGGAATCGAACCCGCGACCATCGGACGTAAAGCGGTGTGCTAGACCGCTATACCACCGAGGTCGTCTATGAGAAACCACATTAAGTATTTACGAATTTAGTATATGTAAATAGATTCTTATATCTAATAGGACGCATAAGGGGGGAAGCGCATTGTTAGCAAAGTAGTAAATTATTAATGAATCCATTGTTAGTAATGTACCATGTCTGTTTGACCTCCACGCAGTTTCTACTGGTAACCATCGTGATAAATTCCTAGTGTACTCGATGCGATAGACTAACTGGCCTAGTCTGATGCTCATCTTGTCGACCTACACTGGTGCCCCGTCAGCGGAACTATTAGCGCAGGGGGAAGGAGATTGTTAATAATGTGGATTAATAATCCCATTGCTAGCGATGTACCATGTCTTTTTGACTTCCACGAGTTTTCGCCAGGAATTGAACATGATAATTTTAAAAATTAAATTCATCACAATGAGCTAACTGACCTGACCTCATGCTCATCTTATTACCCACTAGTGCTTCGTTAGCGCAAGCCGTTAGCGCAGGCAGGTGCACTATTCAATTATAATCCATACAAAAACAATAACATGCGTATGTTGCGGCGGGCCCAGCTAGTCTGAAAATAAAATTATAATAACTTTGTTTACAGCTTATGTAAATCCATACATTGACGTAGAAATATCTATTGAATAGGTATTGATTGTATTCTTTTCAATCTCAGTAAACATACACGGTGAGTGCAATGGCACGAGGGATACTTATATTATAAAACAGCTGCTAGTTAATAATAATTTGATATAGAGGTCCGTATGTCAGCGTTATCTAGAGTTGCCACCCAATACTTTAACTATTCAGTTTTACCTATTTCAGCATCGTGGTAGAATTTATTAATCCTCTGCTTATGATCATCGTCGTGGTACAACATATGGTCATTTTAATTTTAGTTAACACCCACTGAGGTAGATTTTATAAAAAGTCATCTGCGTGCTTACTCTACTCTACTCTTACTCTCTTTTTCTCTCCTATTTCAGCCCCACGCAGTTTGTTTTGTAAGCAATGTTTCGGTTGTTGGGTGAGATTAGACGGTGAAATTACAGTGTCACATTATAATACACATAATATTGTATGTTATATTCACGTATTTAATTTTATTAATTTGTAATCTTGTTAAGTTATTGGTAATTTTTCTTTACTTGTCAGTAGTAATTTAGAATTTAAGTGCTATCGTCGTCGTCTATACATTATTTTATTAATTTACTAATATAGGCTATAACAGAATAGCAGACTTGCTGCCCCTACTGAGTTATATACTTGTCTCGTTTATTATTTTTAAAATTTTATTATAAGCAGCAATTGTATTACTTTTTATTTAAGACATATAAAAATTATGACGATTATTATTATTATAGAGACTATGGTTACCGCCTACCATCAACTGTTTGCTTGTTTGCCATTCCAATTACATAAAAAATAATACTATATTTCACATAAGAAATGTTTGCAACCCTAGCGTTATCATACTTGTAATGCGAGTCGCGCGCTGAGGTCAAGACGAATAATCATCATATTTATCTAATTATATAGACAGTAGTGGAGCGAGAGAATCTAGAACTTTACTGGCACCAATTAGCGGGCAGAGGGGATAGGCAGAAAGGTGATTACTAGAACCCCCCTGGCAATAGGGGATTCCACTAGATTCAATAGAGTAGTCTATTGAATCTAGTACGACTAGGGCGTCCCTGGAAACCATTAATATCTGGTGGAAAACATTTAAAATACTTATTTGATATTGGATATCGAAGCCAAATATAGTTATTTACTTTTCGACACATTTCTGCCAATTTATGGTTGGAAACTTGTATTATTATTTCTAAAAAATGTTTACTATCAACAAGTATTATGAGTTAATTTTATTTAAAAATTGAAGTTTCTACTGTACTTTTACACGCTATTTAGTGTTAAAAATTTAACATGTTTTCTGTCAGTTGAATTTCTATTCAAATCAGTAATGTACCTACATAGTAAACGAATACAATTACATTCAAATTGTATTTGTTAAGAATGAAAAGTATAAAACACAAAAGGACTCCTATATAACTAAAGGAAAACGAAATGAAATCTTAAACCGTTATTATAAGAGTATTTTTATGTTTGTTCCTCACGCTATGTCAGCTCTACTTAGCCAGGTACTACTTAGCCTGGTGGGGGGGCAGGGGGGTTTAACTCAAAAAAAAAAACTGTCCATTGAATCTATAGATTCAATTGAGTAAAACTATGTAATTATGCTATCTGTGGTAAAACTGACAAAATCTCAACAGATTCTTTATTAATAAAAAATAAGTAATAATAATTCTTTATTAATGTCAAATAAGTAGTCAAAAAGCACGTATATATTAATTACAACAACAAAATTGTTGTGCTTAATGACAAAATTCGACGAGAGAGATAACTCTACTGATATTTTTATTTATTAAAATAAATATATGTCGTTAAAATAATGTGTATTTTTTTATTCGACTAGGGAGACTCAAATGTAAAGGAAGGTTGGGAATCTCCGCGTTAAATTATAGATAACACGGAGGAAAGTGGGGTTGCACCACCCACTGTAATACTGTAGCTCACAAGATGGCTCTCCGAGGGATCATAGAAGAGTAATGTCACCATAAACTATATGTTGTAGGAGCACGATACTCCTTTTAAGTATAGAAACCGGTGGAAATAGAAATTTCAATTTCAATTCCGGGTAGTTTCGAAGGGAAATTGAAAGTTTTGATGTCAACGACAAATTAGCCCTTACTATTTTTTCCACTTTATTATTTGATTATTTAGAAATAATAAGAATCAATTCCAATATGAATGATAAAGTTAAATATATTTAAAATATATTCGTGAAAACTATCTTCCTCATAAACGTATAAATTTTTGATAATACCTACAATAAGGAATATTATTTTATATTTCTAAACTACTCCTGTAACCACAGGAGTAGTTTATTGGAATGGAATTTAATGTCTGAAAATATTTTTGTTTGATGCACCTAGTTGTTTAGGCATCTTTCTTTTTCTTTACATAAATGTTTAATTTATGAATCGATGAAATTAAAGTAATATCTCTTGTACGTTAATATTTCTTTAGAAGTCCCAAGCAGCAGTATACAGCAGCCATTGTCGAGATCAATTTTAAACTTAATTTTTTATGTGAATATTTACTACAATAATAAATCAATGTTTAAACTAAATATGAAGTAATTTAATTCTTGGTTTTACTAATTACTACTAGTAGTTGTTCAGTTCTAACTAAGTATATTGACATTTTGGTATATCATTTCATAATTTTACTAGCTTCTATCTATGAATTCGTCTACACAGCCTGGTCAAAAATATTGCTTCTTCCTTCCAATTACTACGATTACAATTTGGCATTTATAACCATAAAAAATGTGTTATCATGTGATAAACGATATGAATAGATGAAGAACCGTGCAGTTTTAATTTAAACAATGATAAGCCGACGAGTCGTAAATTCTGTTTGTTAATCACGCCTCGCGTCGAGGACCAGCCTCTCCCTCTATCATGACTGAATAATAATTAATGACCTTACTGCTCCGTGAAATGAGGACAGCTCACTTGTAATGCGCATCTAGGAATTGCTAATTAACCTACAGAGGTCTGTATAATGATGAATTGTTTGTTTGTTTGGTTGAACGCGAATATCTCAGGTACTGGTTTGAATTTAAAAATTATATTTATGTTATCAAGGCAAGCTAAAGACTAATATCACAGTCGCTACAACCAATAGTAAATAAACATCAATGAAAAATGTTTTAATACCAGAGAAATTGTAATATGGACGAAGATGCATGGGGCAACTGAGTACTTAGTTGTGGTTGGCGTATACGAATCAAATTGTACATACCCAATTTATGGAGGTTGGAAATAATAAATTATAGATATTTAAGTATAAAAGACACATTTATTCTCAATTTAACAGCATTGCTTAATAATAACCTTATTGCCTATATTATTTGTATTTTAACGCTTTGGTATTGCAGCTATTTGGTTACACATCACAAAAGTTTTTCAATCTGCCACTAGTATGTCCAATCACCTTGACTGAATCACTCACGAAGTCGCGACTGAAACTGGTCCAACACTGGGACGACCCCATTACAGGCTGTTCAATCTCCACGTGCGCTTTCAGGTCACTCCTCATCCCCGGTGGAAATTGGCGAGCTGCCGGCCCCAGGGAGCTTCGAAACTTCATTCCAACTTCAATCGCAAGCCGATCAAGGCTCCTCGTCTTCAGAAAGGGAAGGAAGAGCCAGCTGCCGCCGCATCCTCTCGCGGCGCTGAGGCGATAGCGACTTCTGTCTTCTCAATTCAGTATGCAGGATGTAGGACTTCGGTTCAGGTGTGTATGCTTCAATCTCGGAGTCATCCTCCACCAGCGCCGGTAAAGCGGTACAACGAGGCTTCTGGCGTCTCGGACAGTCAGATGTCATGCACTCCATGTCGCGACGGGACTTCGGCAACGCCGGGTAAACATCGGCGTACATCGCGGTCACTGTTTCTAGTTTCACAACCATTGTCAATGTTATTTGAAAAGTTTGCGTTTCACTTTTTGCTTTGGAACGTACAATCGTTGCGAGCGAACGAAGCGAATTGCGGCGCGGCGCTCCGACTCGCGTATTTATAGGCTCGCAAACTGTATTATAAATTGGTTTGTGTGCATTTCGCCTGGCGTCACCCGCGTCACAGATCGTAGGGCCGGCGACGACCGGCGTCCAATTGCGTCCGTAGTCATTTTTCACTCTACTAACATAACCTATTAATTCACATAGCGCCATGTAGTCTCAAACAATGCAGGGCTTGTGTTATGGGTACTAGGCGACTTATAAAGATACATAGAAAACATCCAGATAAATACAAATTATATTCAAAAATACAATTGTTTGCATCGTGCGACGAATCGAACCGGCGACCATTGGAAATAAGGCGATGTGCTAAACCTAAACCTAAAAATCTAACGCAACCGAGCCTGCAACCAATTAAATTTCCCAATTTCATACATGTAGTTTTATTTCATGGCTTTGTCTATTATAATCCTTGTAGTTTTGTTCATGGCACAACAATTTGAATGCACTATCTAACTATAATTAGCCCTTAGATGCCATTTGTTCATTCACATTGTTGACCATCAATCACGTGCTGGAGTTATGACTTTTCTTTCATTATACTTCCCCGTCGCTTTTACCTTGAAGTAGGTATAAACGGAGAGGAAAATGCCACCGATTTCTTAGGATTTTATAACAGTTTCTTTTCGCAGAATATTTTAAATTTGATAGCTTTCTATTTATGTATTCTTTGAATTTCTCAATCGTGCTAAAATTACTATACTTAAAGGGGGTAGCAGATTTTTAGTAAATAGGACTTATGGATTCATTGCGGGCAAGGGTACATTTCTAGGTCGACATTCTCAATTCCTGAAAACCTGAATGGTAAATTTTGAACAAATACACCATAAACTTGGTTTCTTCTTTCACTTCACTGACCTGCCGAGAGCGGGTATCATTACCACAGACGATCTAAAACCATTCCATCACCTTCTAAGATAAAATCTGTACTTATTACCACGCTTCATACTGGCATGAGCATCAATTAGAGATATATCACAGATATATGGTTCCGTGTCATGTATTATAGCGCATATCTCTTTACATCCTAAACATGAGTGAATTAGGAAAAATTCCTTTCTTAAATTGGCACGAGTTGGTATAATGAAACATGGAAGTTATCATATGAATACAATTTTAATGCCTTAATACCACATAAAGCTTATTTATGGGCTTCGTCTTATATCTAAGATATATTCGTAGATATTATATGATAGCGATGTTGTCACTTTGATTTATATGGATGGTGCCATTCATACGAATTCAAAACATAAACCAGATAAGTGCCCATTGAGTTTAAGTAGCAAAACATTTATCTATTTCTAATCTGGCTAAGTTAATAGTCCTTGACCAGATAGATAAGTATGTAATTGTTTTGAAATAATTTATAATTTAGGGCAAATGAGGTTACGAGTAAAGAACAAGTCTTGTCTGAATAACACACAATGTTAGAACTATTTTGCTAGAGAGAACGTTTTGTTAATCATAGGAGTATTGCCTCTATTGCCAGTAATTATATCATAACCTTGCCATTTCCACCTCCACGTGGCATAACTATATTATCAGGGTATTAGTCCTTTATATGTATATAAAGTATTTAAAGTTTATATATAGATATTAACGATCATATGCTAAGTAAACTGATTTCATCCCAGAAAGTACAGTTTAAATATTACAAATAAATCATACTTTATTTAAATAAATAATTTCGTAATCTATTCAAATTGTATCATAAAAAGTACGCCATGTTTTAATGTAGTAGTATTAATAATATTTTGTATGTCTGACATTTATGGGTATTACATACATACATTCTTATGTAATCCGCTGTTTTTTTATTTATATAACTTTATCGCACAATATTTGATGTGAGAATTTTACAATTACACTTGCAGCAATGTTAGATATTGTAGGCTATGTATATATACATAATCGTTGTTAAGAGATTGTTTCGGTAAATAGTAGCGTTGCGGCTCTATAATGATAAACAAACATTATTTTTAAAACCAACATCAAATTAGAAAGTCTAATAATAACAGAAGTGTTTAGATAATTAACGAAATGTAATTATTTTTCTTGTTTTTCATATCATACAATAATGTTAACAAAATATTATCTAAATGCTATTAATAATAAGTGAATGATTTAAATATTCATAAACAACTAGTAAGTATAATGAATATTAAAAGTGATTTTGTCTCCCTAAATTTTCACATCGAAATATATATAACGCAAAGGTGACTGACATAGTGATCTATCAATGCACAGCCCAAACCACTGGACGGATCGGGCTAAAATTCGACATGCAGGTAGATGTTATGACGTAGGCATTTGGTAAGAAATGATTTTGTTTAATTCTACCCCCAAGGGGATAAAATAGGTGTTGAAAGTTTTTATGAAACTTTGTCAATTTTACACCGATCGGGCTGTGTCTTTGAATGCATAAGGCTACTATGACGTAGGCATCCCCTAAGAAAGGATTTTGATAAATTCCACCTCTAAGGGGATAAATTAACACAAGCGAAGCCGCGGGCAAAAGCTAGTATATCTATAAAATTCCATTGAAAATCATCGTTTGAGCATTACAGCCCAGACACAAAGTTGAGTGGAAACCAATTTGGTTGCAGCTATATTTTTAAAATAATTAATTATAATTTTTGTAATATGTTGTATGATTGTTTTGTTTGCGCCAAACAAATATATTTTTCCTTCTAAATATAAATCAAGGCATGTAAATAAAGTCTTGCGTTCTCCACGACAGATAGTCAGACACTTCATATCTATCTATACTATATAGGATAAGTCGTAAAATTGTATTTACCTATTTATTTTTAATTAGCCAGTTATTAAAAGTATCCTTTGTTAAATTCGGTATCTAATGCTTTGTAGTAATTTTATTAGCTCCAGTAGCATCAAGGAAAATAATCGCTCGTAAATCCATAGTTTGGATTGCCGGCAGTTTTATCGGTTATATAAAATCGATTTGAGTACGATGCAGATGTTATTACAGTAGTATTTATCGTGTCGGCCTTGTTTTCAAACAGAATCGATGTTAATCGGGAATAAATTTAAGAGTTTGTATTTTTACTGGCTAATGTTTCCGTGCATATTTCTAGGTAGAAACGGTAAAAAAATAATTTTATCTAAATTAATATTCTAAAGAGATTAGCCGGAATAAACAGACAGACAAAAATTGTAAAAAAATATTTTGGTGTATGTACCGTATTTATATTCATATGCATGTAGTAAAAACGGTTATTTCAATATTACAAACAGACACTCCAATTTTATTTATATGTATAGATTCCTGCCATAAATGCATGTATCTTTCTGAGGTCACGGTGAGAAAAGAAGATAGGATGTGCGACGAAAAACTTGCAAATGCAATATATTTATTCTAACAATCCACCTCTCCCGAGGCTGGAAACAGATACCTCATCTGTGTGACAGTTCCTCAAGTAACATAATACACCTGATCTGTAAACCTAGTAACACAATAAACCTAATCCACTTGCTCATAGGCACGTACATGTATAATAATCCCATACGTACAGCAAAGAATAAATACTAAATTAAATTATAGACAACAAAAAAATTACGTTTTCCTTGTATACCTGTACCTACTATACAAGAGCTTCCTCATGCCGTAAAACCCACAAATGTAGCCTTATTTCTTCTAACTTATTAAGAAGATTTCCTTATAAATTTATCAGTATTAGAGAACTGATTATGAGCGTAATATAGGGTTTAAGCTTTTGTGTGAAATTTATCGTAAAGAAGTTCTTTCATGTAATTTTTTTGATAGAACATATAAACTGTCAGTTATATACGAGAATATATAATCGGCATAAAGAACACCTGCCGTTATGTGATATCCGAAATACACATTATGGGTATTCCTGTATTTTCCTCTGAATCCTGTAATTTCACGGCCATATCACCTGAAAAGTCAGCTCCCCGGCAGAAATAGATTAGAGGTAAGATTCAACCATATTGTGACAGGCTCTATCTTATTCCTACATAAATAAAAATATATGTAATTTTTTTACCAAAAAATATTTGTTTTCTGTATTTATTTATCTTCCCAGCAGCAATAGGATAGAGATACGCAGATACAATGACTAGGTTCAGGCTCTATTTCATTCCTAAACAAATAAAACAATAATCCCATAAAGTAAAGTAAAGAATTTGTTCTCTATATTTATTTAGTTCTGTAGCAGAAATAGAAGAAGGCACATATATCCAAACGACTTTGTGCAATACTCTACATGATCCTATATATATAAAATAATAATATATATACCTATAGAAGAGTTTCTTCTCTGTATTTATTTAAATATTTACCACGTAAGGTTTAATAGCTAATGTTAGGTAGGAGCGCTAGCATTGAGCTTGACCTGGTTCAGCGAAGTCCGATAAATGAGGATAAATTATATAAATAGAATGGAATGGCTTTACAATACAACCTTCGCATCGCAATATACACTTGTACTTTATCAGTTGCACTTATTGATTAAATGTAATCTTCACTTACGATATTTCTTTCTGCGTGTTTTCTTTTCTGTATTGTAATGACAAACAAGGTGTGGACCTACCAACACAGTTATCACAAAAATAATTTTGCGCTACTGAAATGACAGGTACACCTAGTAATGACTGATCACCACTCCGAGTGTACATAACTATATGAACATCACGATGGATATGATTACATCGTGTGACGCTCGTAATCCCTTGAAAACACAAAAAAAGGTCCTTTTATCGGCAATAGTTCTTAAGTTAACGAGTAAATGTTCAGACGTATTTACTCTCTAGTTAGGATAATATTCTTGTAAGAAAAGAGCCTACCTTCAAAAGGCTTAAGTTCAGTCCCCAAGGGTTTGTTGCTCTCGGAGTTCATGACACGACAATAGGTCGCGCCCTGAGGCCTCGACTTACATGCCCTTAGGCAAGTAAGGAACACGTGCATCTGTCTATCTCTCGTGTATTGCTA